ATCCATCCTTCAAATGCAAACTTACTTTCACCCTCCCGTCCCCGTAAACCCGTAAATCCATGTCTCGACATCATCAACCATGCACCCTTTAAACGCATCCCCCTTTATACCCATCTTCCGACATCATCAACCACCCACACTTTCAATCTAGAACTCCAATTTGCCTCCCCGCATCATGATAGTGGGGTATCTAGGTGAGATGATCCCCAAGTTTGTTTGGAAAATGATTTCAAACATGAAGAAAAATATTCCGCATTTTACACATAACTTGACGACAGACACCACACCGGGCCGTGCAGTGCAAACATAAACCTACTGCTCCCTCACTCACACAGCAGGCCCGCGGGATGGGGTAGCAGGACACAGGCGGTAATCCCGCGGGGGGGGGGGGGGGGGGGGGGGGGGGGGGTGGGCGTGTCAGGATGTGGCTGTTGGCCATCAAAGGTGCATAAAGTGCACCACCAACCGCGAGAGTGACGCGTTTACCTATGGTCTCGGTATATTACGGTATTTAAAATATGATAAACTGGGAATATAACTAATGTTATATTTGGATAACACTTTCTTAGTAAAGTACAGATTCTAGTACCTTTTTGGGTTGAGTCCCGTCCGGGATTCTGTGAATAGCTGACAATACAATATTTTGTCTTGCGTCTAAGTGTCACAACTGAAATGTGTATTACAGTAAACTACGGTTATAGCAGGTTATAGAACTCGCATGCATGTGTTAAGAGACAAACTACGTACTGTTTTAAATTTCGGGTAGAACTCGCATGCATGTATTAAGAGACAAACTACGTACTGTTTTGAAGTTCGGGTAGGACTCGCATGCATGTATTAAGAGACAAACTACGCACTGTTTTGAATTTCGGGTAGGACTCGCATGCATGTGTTAAGAGACAAACTACGCACTGTTTTGAATTTCGGGTAGAACTCGCATGCATGTATTAAGAGACAAACTACGTACTGTTTTGAAGTTCAGGTAGGACTCGCATGCATGTGTTAAGATACAAACTACGCACTGTTTTGAATTTCGGGTAGAACTCGCATGCATGTATTAAGAGACAAACTACGTACTGTTTTGAAGTTCAGGTAGGACTCGCATGCATGTGTTAAGAGAAAAACTACGTACTGTTTTGAATTTCGGGTAGGACTCGCATGCATGTATCAAGAGACAAACTACGTACTGTTTTGAAGTTCGGGTAGGACTCGCTTGCATGTGATTTGACGCTAGATTTGAGGTGCACGGAAACTACTTCTCAGAAACCAAATATGTTTGGGTCAATGCGTTTCGTACACGTTGCATCTCGCTGTTGAGAGTTATGTCCCTTAATTGTGCAGGATCCGCAGGTAGGTGGTTCGAATCTTAGCTTATTAACCTCCAGTACAAAGCTGCCGTCACGATATGCAGGGTCTCTGAAATACTGGTCAACTCACTCACTCAAGGATCAAGGAATAGAAAATACTTCCATTTTTTAGTCCAACAGTTTATAGCATACTGATTTATGTATGATTAAAAACAGTCCCTTTCAAATATAAATACTCGTCCACTGACAGAAACAAAGGGACGTGTTGGTTGATGCGCCGTTGGGGGCAAATATAAGCCCCGGGAGACATATTGCGGTGATGGATTGACAACGTGTGGATCACGGGCACATTTATTTGCGTGTCAGGGAATTGCGAATATGCAGTACAATGCTTTGATTAACCTGAAACAAAGGGGCTATGTCATGACGGCGTGATGACGTAGCGCTCCTCAGTCAGGTGAAGACAATGCACGTAACGGCCAAGGAATATGGTGTTTTTTCTTCACCGGGTACGTATAACCACTCGGGTCAATCGATGTCCAGTTCCCCCCAGCCCCTTTGCTGGAATTTTCGATGATCTTGAAATGGGTGGGGTCAGCGCGTCGGGGTACCACGATTTTGGGGACGGGGTCAACTATGGAGTGTTCTTGGGCCTAATAGAATATGAGTCTGCGTCGTCGTCTTGATCCTCAATCAACGGTTTCTCGATGATGTTGATCTCCATTAGGTCGTCAGAGATGGAGGTGGTGGTCGGTTGTGGGAGTGTCAGGAAGGTAGGCTTACGCGGAGACATTTCCAGTCCAAGTCATAACACCTTTGTAAGCTACAAATTCCTGTACGGCAGGTTCGATGCTGCCACGTGTGCTTCCTCGTGCTTGTTTGTTGTTTAACGCCGCACTCAGCAATATACCAGCTGTATGACGGCGGTCTGTAAATAATCGAGTCTGGACCAGACATTCCAGTGATTGACATCAGTTGAGATACGATGACATGCATCAACCAAGTCAGCAAACCTGACCACCCGATCTCGTTAGTCGCCTAGCCTCTTACGACAAGCATAGTCGCCTCTTACGACAAGCATAGTCGCCTCTTTACACAAGCATGGGTTGCTGAAGAACTATTCTAACCCGTAACAAATGTTATATTTGGGATAACACTGAGTAATGTACAGATTCACGTACTGTTTGGGGTTGAGTCCCGTCCGGGATTCGAACCCACACTGCCAGAGTCGGGCACCTAATCGCCAGCACACAAAGTCAGCGATCTAACCCACTCAGCCACCGAGGCTTCCACAAAAATGAAAGTCCAAAAACTGGTGGTCCAGATCACGTACTTTGTGTACCCCTCTGACAAGTATATGGGGTGTTTATATTGCTCTGAATGAAATCGGATCACGAATCAAAAGTCATTTTAAAACTCGGGGTCAGTGCGTGGAGGTCGTCGCGCACCAGTTACAGTAACAACACGCTACAGGTTCACACCACTGGGGCGCCCATAACTTTCAAATGGACTAAAACCACAAAATAACAGAACATGTTAAGTTGTCATCTCATCACAAACTCGGAAGTATAATCCTTAATATAAACCCACTATAAATATTTAACATTATATTTTCAAAACTGTGTCTCCCGTTGCGAGTTTTATTATTTAAAGTATGTTGGTTTTTTATGTCAAGAAAAATATGAATTTTATATAAATCATCTGTGCTTCGGTGAGAGGTGCGGTTCGCCATCATGAGACACATTCATCATCCTTCTGATACAATTATTAATAAATTTGACTTAAAATGCGGTCATGGATCATGCCAAATTGTCCACTGTCGCCTTATTCTCGGCTGCAGTGACTTAACGCTGATAAGTTTAGACGACATGTATCAGACATACCAGACTGCACTTGTGGATATCACTTTGAAGATGCAATTCACATTATCTATATCTGTCAAATATACGATAATATCAGAAGCACTATGTATTTCTACACACATGGGTATGATTTAAAAACATGGCGGTGGTTCAGTCAGCAGTTCTACAAACATGACTATTCTTAAAACAGTTCACGATTTCATTGTCAAAAGCAAAAGATTTGAGTAGTTTTATTTTATGCATGTAGTAATGGACAACTGCATTATCTTATTTCACAGACACCACTTGCTTCAATGTATTGGCTTCATGTATTTCATTTGTGCATTTTGTATATTTATGTTTAACATTATCTTATATATAACAGCTGTTAAGTTATTACCTGGAGAGGTATTTACATAAGCAAGTTTTGCTTGTTTACCGATCCAGATTTCTTTTGTAATATAAATGTTTAAACCAAATTCATCATGCATCAGTAGGTTGACCTGCCATAAGGTCATTACTCTCTCCGGAACATTCGCCAACATAAAAGAGCCATACATATATTTGACACAAGAACGGGGGTACCGGGAGACGCGATTGTGATGTTGTTTATTTATGTCCGAAGTTAGAACGCGTAACCATTGCCCTTTCTCGTACCTGTCATGGACTCAACGCAACAGTAACCATGATCTGGCAGTGCATATAATTCTTTGATATGAATGATAATCTGGACTTATTCGCTGCTATAGATTCATGTTGAGTCCAAATACGAAAGAAATGTGTTAGATTATGTGTTAAACATATTTATTTCACAACTTGTGAACTGGATTGGTAAACAAGCAAAAACTTATTTGAATACCACTCCAGAATTAGAATACAATATGATATGACAAAAGTACAGTCAAGGAATACAATTGTATAAACTACGTTGTCGGCGCTGTCAGGTCTCACTTTTAGTAGTAATAGTGTACTGCAATATACGCAAGGAATAGTATTATAAATTTAAGATGCTATGTAAAATCACAAAACCTATTGGATAGCTGAATGTAGTCTTGTACTGATTTAAGAATTTCTAAGTTTATTTTTGACGTCCTCTCAGGATTACCTAATAGAATTGAATTTAGATCATATCCCTTAACATAATAGTACATATTCTGTCTTAAACCATTGTAATTTGGGCATATGAGAAAGAAGTGAAGAGCATTTTCAGTGTGATGGCCACAGCTACATGCGTGATTAGCTGATAAATATCGTGCGACCCGGTCTGCATTAAGATCACTGCATCCAAGTCGAAGGCGGGCGTGCACAATTTGACAAAATCTGGACCCGTAATTTAGATCAAAACTTATCATATTTTTTTAAGTCCTCTTTATATGTTTTTTGAAAGTACTAAGTGTTAGATTTTTGGTTTGTGTTACAAATTAGCGTGTGTACGGATCAGCCAACGAAACATATGTACGTTATACCAGTCGAATTGTTTGCGTACGGTTTAAACACTTAAAGTGAACGGGTCAGTCAATGCGTTTGTCAACGAATATCCGCGTGAGCTTCTACCAACGGTTGAAATAGAAAAAGCCATATTGATATTCTAGTTATAAATAAGTAATAAACATAACACGACCACGTGATCACGACAATGACATGTTCAACAAATGTTATGACCTACATGGTTTATATAAATCAATCATATTTTTTTAAAACGGAATGTTGGAAAAAATATACGAAAATCGTTGCTTTATCGCTTTCTGTGACGTGACCTACTTTTTAACGAGCAAGGACAATTGTCAAGCTGGCCAGTTTTTCTGCACACAAAAATAGAAACGAAAGGAAACTACGATACGCTACAACTTACCTAGAAGAAGATCCGGGTGCATCTTGATGACGCTAAGGAACATGGTTTAAAAGAATATTCCGACACGGGTACTCTCCTTTACCCTCCCGACACACCCGCCTGACGACCGTGTGTGGTTCATGTAGATACTGAGAATGATGGACACGGGTACCCCTGAACTCGAAAGGCGAGAACCGGTTAGCTCAGATCAGCGAACCATAACTATACTGTAAGACTGCCCTGTCGATAACAAAGGAAGGCCTGGGCGCATTTTATCAAGGCCCGCGGGCGCTACCGGAGTTGTACAAACAGGTTTTGGTAGCACATTTTGTGACTCAATTACCGGTGTGTCACTCTCTTGTGTCAACAAGTGATGTTGGTCTGACGGTATACACAAAGCGGATTAGTGACGTGTTGATACAAACACATCGTCTGAATGTAATTAGAAGTGTTTTGCTTTAAATTCGACAGCGGTCATGTTAATACGATAATGCCTGATATTTTTTAGGCTGAAGCATAATTTCGACAAGCCTCTCTGCTGTGCCTACAAGTGATGTTTGTCTGACAGTAGACAGAAGGCAGATTAGGGATGTCGTGTTGGTACACACAGATCGTTTTTGTGTAATAAGAAGTGTTTTGTTCTGTAACCATAATCTGTAACCATAATCTACCACCTTTTGTTATTACTTTTGTTGTCTTACATGTATATATATATATATATATATATATATATATATATATATATTACTTTTGTTGTCTTACATGTATATATATATATATTACTTTTGTTGTCTTACATGTATATATATATATATATTACTTTTGTTGTCTTACATGTATATATATATATATTACTTTTGTTGTCTTACATGTATATATATATATATATATATTACTTTTGTTGTCTTACATGTATATATATATATATATTACTTTTGTTGTCTTACATGTATATATATATATATATATTACTTTTGTTGTCTTACATGTATATATATATATATATTACTTTTGTTGTCTTACATGTATATATATATATATTACTTTTGTTGTCTTACATGTATATATATATATATATTACTTTTGTTGTCTTACATGTATATATATATATATATATATTACTTTTGTTGTCTTACATGTGTATATAAATATATATTACTTTTGTTGTCTTACATGTATATATATATATATATTACTTTTGTTGTCTTACATGTATATATATATATATATATATTACTTTTGTTGTCTTACATGTATATATATATATATATATATATATTACTTTTGTTGTCTTACATGTATATATATATATATATTACTTTTGTTGTCTTACATGTATATATATATATATATTACTTTTGTTGTCTTACATGTATATATATATATATATTACTTTTGTTGTCTTACATGTATATATATATATATATATATATATTACTTTTGTTGTCTTACATGTATATATATATATATATATTACTTTTGTTGTCTTACATGTATATATATATATATATATATATATATTACTTTTGTTGTCTTACATGTATATATATATATATATTACTTTTGTTGTCTTACATGTATATATATATATATATATATATTACTTTTGTTGTCTTACATGTATATATATATATATATATTACTTTTGTTGTCTTACATGTATATATATATATATATATATTACTTTTGTTGTCTTACATGTATATATATATATATATATATTACTTTTGTTGTCTTACATGTATATATATATATATATTACTTTTGTTGTCTTACATGTATATATATATATATATATTACTTTTGTTGTCTTACATGTATATATATATATATATATATTACTTTTGTTGTCTTACATGTATATATATATATATATATATATTACTTTTGTTGTCTTACATGTATATATATATATATATTACTTTTGTTGTCTTACATGTATATATATATATATATATATTACTTTTGTTGTCTTACATGTATATATATATATATATATATATATATTACTTTTGTTGTCTTACATGTATATATATATATATATATTACTTTTGTTGTCTTACATGTATATATATATATATATATTACTTTTGTTGTCTTACATGTATATATATATATATATATATATTACTTTTGTTGTCTTACATGTATATATATATATATATATATTACTTTTGTTGTCTTACATGTATATATATGTATATATTACTTTTGTTGTCTTACATGTATATATATATATATATATTACTTTTGTTGTCTTACATGTATATATATATATATATATATATTACTTTTGTTGTCTTACATGTATATATATATATATTACTTTTGTTGTCTTACATGTATATATATATATATATATTACTTTTGTTGTCTTACATGTATATATATATATATATATTACTTTTGTTGTCTTACATGTATATATATATATATATATATATTACTTTTGTTGTCTTACATGTATATATATATATATATATATATTACTTTTGTTGTCTTACATGTATATATATATATATATTACTTTTGTTGTCTTACATGTATATATATATATATATATATTACTTTTGTTGTCTTACATGTATATATATATATATTACTTTTGTTGTCTTACATGTATATATATATATATATATATATATATTACTTTTGTTGTCTTACATGTATATATATATATATTACTTTTGTTGTCTTACATGTATATATATATATATATATATTACTTTTGTTGTCTTACATGTATATATATATATATATATTACTTTTGTTGTCTTACATGTATATATATATATATATATTACTTTTGTTGTCTTACATGTATATATATATATATATATTACTTTTGTTGTCTTACATGTATATATATATATATATATATTACTTTTGTTGTCTTACATGTATATATATATATATATTACTTTTGTTGTCTTACATGTATATATATATATATATATATTACTTTTGTTGTCTTACATGTATATATATATATATATATATATATATATATTACTTTTGTTGTCTTACATGTATATATATATATATATATATTACTTTTGTTGTCTTACATGTATATATATATATATATATATTACTTTTGTTGTCTTACATGTATATATATATATTACTTTTGTTGTCTTACATGTATATATATATATATATATTACTTTTGTTGTCTTACATGTATATATATATATATATATATTACTTTTGTTGTCTTACATGTATATATATATATATATATATATATATATATATATATATATATATATATATATGTTCTTTGCCTCATAGCATTCATACACCTGATGAAGGAGTAAGCATATTCTCCGAAACGTTGTGTTCCTCATAATAAAGAGGTTGACATCCATATATTCTCTTCCTTTTGTGTATCACTACTGAATGCCATTAAATATATTATTATTATTATTATTATTATTATTATTATTATTATTATTATTATTATTATTATTATTATTATTATTATTATCATATGTTTAGTTATACCTTTCATAGACTTGAGGGGGCGGTCGGGTAGCCTGGTGGTTAAAGCGTTCGCTCGTCGCGCCGAAGACCCGGGTTCGATTCCTGACATGTGTAAAATGTGTGAAGCCCATTTCTGGTGTCCCCCGCCGCGATATTGCTGGAATATTGCTAAAAGCGGCGTAAAACCATACTCACTCACTCATAGACTTGATAATCTACCTATTGAAACTGGGAGATGGAGAAAAATAGCTTTAACCGAAAGAAAATATCCACCTATCAAAGGTGATGAATTCCATTATTTGTCCATCTTTAGAAACCGAAAGAAAACAATGTTTACACATATTCTACTACATCGAGCCTATTATGTATAAAATGAATTTACTTTTTCCATAATTCACGTCTAGGAACATTGAGAAAATTATCCAAATTCTGTAAAATCATCATGTATTTGTTTAAACCTATCAAGTAACATATATTGCACATATATATATTGCTACCCTAGTGAATCTGTATAAATATACATGCAAGCTCGGCAAAGGTGCTTTTGTATCTATTCTATTTTTATATGTATATGTATCATGTTGTTGATAGCGGCCTGAGCGTAAATACAAGATCGGTTCAGGTATGGTGAGGTGAAATTGGGTTTAAAGGCGCATCCATGCACGTGTGTGTATGTGTGTGGTGCTTGAACTAGTCCGGACTGATGCCGATGTTATAGTGCCAGCCCACTGAGATACCATGCCACAGTTTAACATGAATACCCCACTCAGACACAGTATACTGACTCCGAGCCGACCAGTCCTTGTTTTATCTTCGGGGCGCACAGAAAACCATCACCTCACTTTCCCGACCACCTCATTATTCAGACATGCGGACGTTGGTCACTTCACGGGTGGCCGGGCCATCATGTTGTACCCATGCTTGTCTCAAGGATGCTAGCGTGTATTGGTTCTGATGGACAATAAATGACTGGACACATGCTGCCGATGGACATTGTAATCTTTGTGGTTGACCGCCACGGTTGGCCCATCACTTGTGACGCTGACGAATAATATACCTCACGTCTCACACAAAGAACTAATGATCAGCGTAGTCACCAAACTTGCTGTGTACAAGGTGTAAAGAGGGCAAAGTCTGAGACATGTTAGAGCTTAATATCCTCACAAAACTGAAAACTCTGGGAATACATCCTTTTCGAGAAATGTTTTTTTGCAATTTTAATTTATAGTATTTGTTTTTTATGTTGACTTTATTGTAATGGACAACTACACACACATGCACACATCCACACCCACACCAACACCAACATACACATGCACACACACAAACACATGCACACACACACGAGTTACCCACATCCACGCACACACACCTACACACACGTACACACACCTAAATCCACACGCACGCACGCACGCACGCCGAGGCACCTAAACACATGCACAAGCACACACACTCACATGCACACATACCTAAATACATACGCACGCACGCACAGACACCTAATCACACGCACACGCACACACACTCACACGTACACACACCTAAATACACACGCACGCACGCACATACACCTAAACACACGCACACGCACTCACATGCACACATACCTACAGACACACATGCACACACACACACATTACACACATACACACACGCACGCAAGCACGCACGCACACACACACACACACACACACCTACACACGCACGCACACACACCTAAACACACACACGCACACACATTCACAGACA